AGACTGCTGCCCCCGCGACCCGGCAACGGATGAAGCGGAAGAAAATGGATGGATGGATGGATGATTTACTAATTGTTATTAGTTCATTATCAAATGTTGATTATTCACATGTAAACATTATTATAACCATGTGCTACTCATGAGCTAATTATTAACAACTCATTTACAAATATATAATAAATACCTAATGATTGTTTAATCATTAAGAATGTTGAAATTCACATCTAATACTCATTACCTAAGTGTTTACAGCTAATGAACAATGATAAGGTGATATGTTAAATATTCATCAACATAAAAATAAAAGTATTAATATCATGAACTACTCAGAAACAGAAAATATACTACACATTTTTCAATGTTTTATTGACATTTAATTATAAATCATGACATTATATAATCATTTACTAATGATTAGTACAATAATACATGGAAATGGAATGCTCATATTAACAAATCATTTACCTCACTAAATGGATACACCATCACCTAACAACCTTTTAATTAATGTAGGGTAGGAAAAATGGATGTGGAGCCTCTAGCGTTTACAGTGGATGTGAACACAGTAGCATATTTACGGCTTTTTAGGTTCTTCTAATAAGACAATTAAAGCAAAAAAAGCTAGTACTGCTTAAATACCTGACATGTTTCGGCGGTACACTTCCGCCTTCATCAGAGGTGACACGTGATGGTGTGACGCGTCTCTTATCAGCTGTTGTTGCCGGAAGCAGTCAGTCTGACAGATCTCACAGATCCATCAGACTGACCACATCCCCCGCCGCGCTGTGGTCTCTGGAGAAGTGAATCCCAGAGAATCACATCATGGACTGGGACAATGCAAAAATAATAATAATAATAATAATAATAAATCTTTATTTATAAAGCACTTTTCAAAAACAATGTTTACAAAGTGCTGCACAGCATAATAAACAATACATCAGTCATAATACAAAGTTAAAACAATAAGAATGAATGCAAGAAGACAAGACAAACAGAGGAAACACAAGACCACAAAACAGACAGGACAGACAGTAAAATACAACATTATAAGTTTAAAGCTGACAATTAAAAGCTGTTTTATAAAAGTGGGTTTTAAGAAGAGATTTAAAAGAGGATACTGATGGTGCTAGCCTTATCTCCTCGGGCAGGTCGTTCCAAAGCCGAGGAGCCCGGACAGAAAAGGCTCGATCACCTTTCGTCCGGAGCCTCGACCTTGGAATGGTCAGCAAGGACCTGCCCGAGGATCTAAGGCAGCGGGGGGGCTCGTAGGGGGTTAAAAGTTCATAAATATAGCTTGGTGCCAGACCTAAACGAGCTTTAAAAGTAATCAGTAAAATCTTAAAATCAATTCTAAATCGCACAGGGAGCCAGTGGAGGGACGCTAAAACAGGGGTGATGTGCTCCCTTCTGTTAAAACCAGTGAGAAGTCTGGCTGCTGCGTTCTGAACCAGTTGGAGGCGGGAGAGGGATTTAGCATCAAGACCGGAGAGGAGGGAGTTACAGTAATCGAGGCGGGAGAAGATGAGGGCGTTGACGACTTTATGGAGATCGGGAGGAGTGAGAATGTTTTTAATCTTAGAGATGGTGCGGAGGTGATAGAAGCAGGTTTGGGTGGTTTTATTGATGTGGGAGCGGAAGGTGAGGTGAGAATCAAAAATGACACCGAGGTTACGGGCGGAGGGAGTGATGTTTGAGGACAGGGGGCCGAGGTGGGTTTGGATGTGGGATATGGATGGAGGCGGGTTGATGAGGAGGACTTCTGATTTGGAGGTGTTGAGTTGAAGGAAGTTATGGGCCATCCAACGGTTCACATCATTAAAACAGTCGACCACAGCAGCCAGACTTCCAGGGTCGTTTGGTCTCAGCGGGAGGTAGATCTGTGTGTCGTCCGCATAGCAGTGGAAGGACACGTTATGACGGGCCATAACGTGTCCTAGGGGGAGCATATAAATAGAGAATAAAATGGGGCCTAAAATAGAACCTTGCGGCACACCACAGGTGATGGGGGCTGTTGAGGAGGTAAAATCACCCATGGTGACCGCAAAGGTTCTTTCTAAAAGATAAGAATGAAACCAACCAAGTGCAGTATCTCTGATGCCAACCCACGTTTTGAGGCGATCCAATAAAATATCGTGGTCTATAGTGTCGAAGGCAGAGCTTAAATCTAAAAGAATTAAAATAGAGCACTCTCCGCTGTCCGTGGTTAAAAGAAGGTCATTTAAAACTCTAAGGAGAGCTGTCTCAGTACTGTGTTGTGCTTTAAAACCGGATTGGAATTTCTCAAAGATGTGGTTATTGTTAATAAAATCTAAAATCTGAATAGAAACAATTTTCTCTAAAACCTTAGATAAAAACGGGAGTTTAGAAATGGGTCTAAAATTGTTAAAATCTGTAGTGCTTAAATTAGGCTTCTTTAAAAGTGGTTGGACCACAGCATGTTTAAAACTGGATGGGACAAGACCTTGATCCAGGGACTGATTAAGGATTGATAAAATGGAGGGTCCAACCACATTAAAAACATCTTTGAGAAATTTGTAGGAACAGAAGAACATAAATACAAAAGATGGATACGAGAGGCGATCGAAATCAGGAAGCGGGGAACACGGACCATCAACAGAGACGAGGGGGCCTTCACCTTGGCTCACACTTGGGATTCACTTCTCCAGAGACCACAGCGCGGCGGGGGATGTGGGCCTCTTGGCTGCATCTCTGATCAGTCTTCTCCTTGTTTGAGATGAAAGTTTGGAGGGACGGCCGGGTCTTGGTAGATTTGCAGTGGTCTGATACTCCTTCCATTTCAATATAATTGCTTGCACAGTGCTCCTTGAGATGTTTAAAGCTTGGGAAATCTTTTTGTATCCAAATCCGGCTTTAAACTTCTCCACAACAGTATCTCGGACCTGCCTGGTGTGTTCCTTTGTCTTCATGGTTCTCTCTGCGCTTTAAACAGAACCCTGAGACTATCAAAGAGCAGGTGCATTTATACGGAGACTTGATTACACACAGGTGCATTCTATTTATCATCATCAGTCATTTAGGACAACATTGGATCATTTAAAGATCCTCACTGAACTTCTGAACTGAGTTTGCTGCACTGAAAGTAAAGGGGCCGAATAATATTGCACGCCCCACTTTTCAGTTTTTTATTTGTTAAAAAAGTTTAAATTATCCAATAAATTTCGCTCCACTTCACGATTGTGTCCCACTTAAAATTAAAATTTTATATCTTTATGTTTGAAGCCTGAAATGTGGCGAAATGTTGAAAGGTTGAAGGGGGGCGAATACTTTCGCAAGGCACTGTATATAGGAGGATTTTCTACTTCTGGGTGGATCATCAAAATTATTGGGCCTCCCAATTGTAGATCCAGAACCTAAGCTACAGAACGTGGACCAGGGCCACGCAGCGGCTGCAGAACGTGGACAGGTCCGGCAGGACTGTAACAGCTCCAAGGCGGGTCGGGCTCCAGGTGTAGATGAAGGAGGCCAGGCTCAGAGGTCCCGTCGTTGCGCCATGAAACTGACAATGGGACAACGGGTGAATAGCAATGAACAGACTACAGTCAAAATCCTAATAATGCAGACACATAAAGTAGGAAGGAGGAGAGGATAGTGCTCAAGTTACCATACTTCACCCAGCAAACTGACTCCCTATGCAGCTTGACTGACAGTCTGAGGAGTTTAGCCTTCCCTGAGTCTTACCTTCCTAACCATATGCTAAACTAAGAGTTTTAAGCCTAGCCTTGAATGTAGAGACCGCGTTTGATAGAAGGAGAGACAGCAGCCGCCAAGGCTAGGCTAGCCTAGGCTACAGCACCAAAGATTCGTGGATTACACACCAAGTGTGTAACCCAAACCAGACAACAACCTAACCATATGCTAAATTGAAGAAGAGTGTTTTAAGCCTGGCCTTGAATGTGGAGATTGTGTCTGCTTCCTTAACGTGAATGGGAAGCTGATTCCACAGTAAAGGAGCTTGGAGCTAAATGCTCTGCTGCTGATAGTGCTTTTTGAGACCTTAGGAACCACCAGACGTCTGGCGTTTTGCGAGCGCAGTGCTCGGTTTGGTTGATATGACACCAACATGTCTTGAAGATAAGAGGGAGCCAAACCATTTATGGCTTTGTATGTTAAAAGAAGCATTTTAAACTTTATTCTGTACTCCACAGGGAGCCAGTGGAGTGATTTTAACACCGGAGTTATGTGCTCCCTCCTTTTGGTACCAAGTCTTGAGGTGACAAAAGCGTGGATCAGTTTTTCCACGTCACTTTTAGGAAAGAAATTGGTGATTTTTTAGCGATGTTCCGCAAGTGGAAATACGCAGTTTTTGTTGCTTGGTTTATATAAGCCTTGAAGGAGAGTTCTTCGCCGAAAACGACTCCAAGATTCCTCACAGTGTTACTGGGTATAATACTAACATTATTGAGAGTGATTATCTGGTTAGTAAGGGAGTCACGCAGACTCTTTGGGCCGAGAAGGATCACTTCTGTCTTCTCCGGGTTAAGCAGTAGAAAGTTAAGAGTCATCCATGTTTTAAGGTCTTTCATGCAGGCCTTTTCAACTGATCGGTCTGATTTGGTTTCATCAACAGGTAAAGTGTCATCTGCAAAGCAGTCAAAGTTAATTCCATGCTTCTTCAAGGTATATAGGAGGATTTTCTACTTCTGGGTGGATCATAAAAACTATTGGGCCTCCCAATTGTCAATCATTCTGGTCATTCGTGCTCGTCAAATAAGACCAGAGAGTTTTGTTCAAAAAGTGGAGAGGGTGATTCTTTCTTAAAATTTGGGAAAATCCTCCCATACACCTTTAAGACCTTTTTTTAATCTCTGGCTTTTAATACTCTGGAGTTGTGTGGTCCTCTATTTATTTCTTATTTCATAGTTTTTAGTTTTACTTTCATTCACCATTTGGCCTGAGGACCAATGCTCTACCAACTGAACCACTTTCACCTTATATTTATTGCAAGTGTTTATATCTTTCCAGCTCCAGTGCAAAAGCCAATGAAGGTGCTCCCCATTGCCACAGCTCAGACTTATGGAGCTCACCAGCAGATCTTGGAGCTGCTGACCACTCAAGGCATCAAGACTACAGATTACTTACAAGAGAGTGATGTCATTTTGCTCTTTTGTCCTATTCTGCCACAAACCGTGTCCTATTCTGCCACAAACCGTGCAGCCGACAAAAAGACTCCAGGTTAGTTCTGAAAACTGTCTCTTTTGTTCTGAGACAAAGTCACCACATGAGCACAGAAGACTGGCTCAATAATACTTGTTTTTATTATTTCATTTTTAGTTATTGTATACAAGGTTTGAAAATTAGAAAATCACCAATACGTGATTCTCCTTAAACACTCTTTAATGACCCAATACCCTTTTTGAGTGAGCATTACATTTCCTGTATATGTCATTCCGAATTCAAACACAATATTTATATCTAAAGCCACAAATGGCAATAAAAACCCTCCCCCCTCCTTGTGCCCCGCCCATATGTGTAGCAGGAACCTGTGTTACACATATGGGTCCTCAAGTTAAAAGAATTTGAAGCCTGATCGGGCCATGATCGTCATAACAATTTTTAAGGTTTCTGTGCTCCCCTGGTGGTCAGCAGTGGAACATATAGCCTCTCTGTATTGTAACATATTTACTTATAGATCACACTCGGCCAGGTGAAGGCAAACCGGTGGTGTCGGTTCTGATGCATCAAACTTTTGACCCTACTGACAAAGTCCTGGACACAACCTGCTGTAGCACACAGCACCCCTGTTTAAAGGAGGAAGTGCGGGTGCTTTTCCATCAGACTTCAGGACTTCTGCAGTGCCACAGCAACCAGGAGGCAATGCAGACCCTCAAGACCCTCTATGACAAGTATGCCACTCCAGGTCAGAAAACCTTCAATTAAAGTGTTCAACCAATGTAGTGTCATGTTCAATCCAACATGAAACACTACAAAAACCCAGGCCACGTGGCAGATTAAATGCACTGAATTTTCACACATATATCATAGATAATCAATGCAAAACTTCACTTCATTGTTAAAGCCATCACCTTTGAATCAAATTAGAACAAACATACTGTAATAATATCTCACTATTAGACATAACTCCACTCAACCTATCCCTGAAGAAACACCACTGCTTGAAAATGGTGCAAAACTGGAAATCATAACATGTCTGGTCAAAGGGGACGGTCTGACCGCCGTGTGCAGGAAAGAGAGAGGCCATGTGATTCACAGAGGAAAACAGACAGGAGCAGGCTTTATTTGGAGGCGGTTTGAGCAGTAAAGGTACAGTATCTCTAGAGCTGACAGAGATCATGTGGCGAGTCAAGGCAGCAGACCAGCGCTGCACGTCAAAAAAGCTACAGATAAGCAGACTATCGCTATTATTATCCCTGAGTGCACACCAGGAGCCAGCAGCAATGTCCGGCTTGCTGCCAGCAAAGTGTTACAGTCGTCAAGTCTTGAGGTGACAAAAGCGTGGATCAGTTTTTCCACGTCACTTTTACGAAAGAAATTGGTGATTTTTAGCGATGTTCCGCAAGTGGAAATACGCAGTTTTTGTTGCTTGGCTTATATAAGCCTTGAAAGAGAGTTCTTTGCCGAAAACGACTCCAAGATTCCTCACAGTGTTACTGGGTATAATACTAACATTATCGAGAGTGATTATCTGGTTAGTAAGGGAGTCACGCAGACTCTTTGGGCCGAGAAGGATCACTTCTGTCTTCTCCGGGTTAAGCAGTAGAAAGTTAAGAGTCATCCATGTTTTAAGGTCTTTTATGCAGGCACTAAGCCTTTTCAACTGATCCGTCTGATTTGGTTTCATCAACAAGTAAAGTGTCATCTGCATAGCAGTCAAAGTTAATTCCATGCTTCTTAATGATTTCTTCAAAGTATATAGGAGGATTTTCTACTTCTGGGTGGATCATAAAAACTATTGGGCCTCCCAATTGTCAATCATTCTGGTCATTCGTGCTCAACAAATAAGACCAGAGAGTTTTGCTCAAAAAGTGGAGAGGGTGATTCTTTCTTAAAATTTGGGAAAATCCTCCCATACACCTTTATGACACATTTTTAATCTCTGGCTTTTAATACTCTGGAGTTGTGTGGTCCTCTATTTATTTCTTATTTCATTGTTTTTAGTTTTACTTTCATTCACCATTAGGCCTGAGGACCAATGCTCTACCAACTGAACCACTTTCACCTTATATTTATTGCAAGTGTTTATATCTTTCCAGCTCCAGTGCAAAAGCCAATGAAGGTGCTCCCCATTGCCACAGCTCAGACTTATGGAGCTCAGCAGCAGATCTTGGAGCTGCTGACCACTCATGGCATCAAGACTACAGATTACTTACAAGAGAGTGATGTCATTTTGCTCTTTTGTCCTATTCTGCCACAAACCGTGTCTGACCTTGATGTAGCCGACATAAAGACTCCAGGTTGGTTCTGAAAACTGTCTCTTTTCTTCTGAGACAAAGTCACCACATGAGCACAGAAGACTGGCTCAATAATACTTTATTATTTCATTTTTAGTTATTGTATACAAGGTTTGAAAATTTCGAAAATCACCATTACGTGTTTCTCCTTAAACACTCTTTAATGACCCAATACCCATTTTGAGTGAGCATTACATTTCCTGTATATGTCATTCCGAATTCAAACACAATATTTATATCTAAAGCCACAAATGGCAATAAAAACCCTCCCCCCTCCTTGTGCCCCGCCCATATGTGTAGCAGGAACCTGTGTTACACATATGGGGCCTCAAGTTAAAAGAATTTGAAGCCTGATCGGGCCAAGATCGTCATAACAATTTTAAAGGTTTCTGTGCTCCCCTGGTGGTCAGCAGTGGAACATATAGCCTCTCTGTATTGTAACATATTTATTTATAGATCACACTCGGCCAGGTGAAGGCAAACCGGTGGTGTCGGTTCTGATGCATCAAACTTTTGACCCTACTGACAAAGTCCTGGACACAAGCTGCTGTAGCACACAGCACCCCTGTTTAAAGGAGGAAGTGCGGGTGCTTTTCCATCAGACTTCAGGACTTCTGCAGTGCCACAGCAACCAGGAGGCATTGCAGACCCTCAAGACCCTCTGTGACAAGTATGCCACTCCAGGTCAGAAAACCTTCAATTAAAGTGTTCAACCAATGTAGTGTGTCATGTTCAATCCAACATGAAACACTACAAAAACCCAGGCCACGTGGCAGATTAAATGCACTGAATTTTCACACATATATCATAGACAATCAATGCAAAACTTCACTTCATTGTTAAAGCCATCACCTTTGAATCAAATTAGAACAAACATACTGTAATAATATCTCACTATTAGACATAACTCCACTCAACCTATCCCTGAAGAAACACCACTGCTTGAAAATGGTGCAAAACTGGAAATCATAACATGTCTGGTCAAAGGGGACGGTCTGACCGCCGTGTGCAGGAAAGAGAGAGGCCATGTGATTCACAGAGGAAAACAGACAGGAGCAGGCTTTATTTGGAGGCGGTTTGAGCAGTAAAGGTACAGTATCTCTAGAGCTGACAGAGATCATGTGGCGAGTCAAGGCAGCAGACCAGCGCTGCACATTAAAAAAGCTACAGATAAGCAGACTATCGCTATTATTATCCCTGAGTGCACACCAGGAGCCAGCAGCAATGTCCGGTTACTGGCCCTCATGTATAAAAGTTGAGCAGAAAAGGGATAGTATATTTTTTGTGTATATTCCATTTACGCAAGATCCAACGTTGGATTTATGAACGTGTTAGATGCGCACAGATTTGAGCGTACGCACCTTCGGGTGTTCATAAATCCCGCGGCTGAAAACGAACGTATTTATGAAAGTCACGCCTAGAATTATGCTGCAATCGCCTGTAAAACGCCCTGTTTTTACGACAGGGCAGCAGGAAGCCGGCCAAAAAGACTGTTTGGAAGCGTCAAAGGCACGTTTGTTTGTTCATGGTTATGTAAAAATAAATATACGCTATATATTCAGCTGCGTTTTGAACAAATTTGCAAAAATGTTTTGATAAATTAGAAAATTCTTTCTTGAATTGTAGAAATGAATTAATAAAGAATGAATGAATGAATTAACCCTTTAAGCGCCAAAGTCGCAATATTGCGACAAGCAACATTGCTCACTTAAACAGGCTGTATGTAAAACTGTGGTGCAGAATCTTGTTAATACTTTTCACCAGGGGTTAGTGGACATGTGTGCCTGTAATATGAGCAACATTTGTGGGTGTGGTTATATTGAAAGTTTTTGAGTAAATTGAGTTCGTAAAACACCTGCGGCGCTGCAGCGCGCATTCTGTGAACGCCAAGCAGGGGCCGTGGTGGAGGGGACAGGGGGATCATAACACCGGGCATGTGGGAGAAAGTAGCGGGGGTAGACATCCACGGGGAACACGGGAGACGAGGGAGAAGTCGCGGGGGAGCCGCGGGAAAAAAACACTCCAAATCGCTAATCACGTTCACTGCCTTTACCAACAGCGATGATGAGGATGAAGGCAGTTCTTGAGAGAAAATAATCCACAAAAGTGGATCAGAAGTGTTGAAGAGCCTGTTGTTTCTTGTTGAGACGATCTGACATGTTCTGTGCCCATTCATTTCATCTCTCTGTTTCTAAACGATAAATCCTGGAGCTTCATTTCCACTGAGAAAAATAGTAAGCCCACCGCTTCTTTGAAAGGGAAATATTGAAACCAATCTCTAGATTTCATGACTGTAAACTATAAAGAGTGCTGTCTTGATCACTGAAGGTCTTTGAAAATAATACAATTCCATATGGCCGCGAACCAGTGCTAAAACATTATCTATAATCTGGATCAAGGAATCTATCCCAAATTCATTTCATACTAAAGATATTTCACATTGACTGTTTATAGTATTCCCTGATCTCAAATAACTCCCAAGCTACAGCTTTTTGAAATCTTTATACAAGAATTAACATTTTCCAAAATGGCTGCCACCTTGATGACGTCACAATATGCAAATTCGATGACGAATCAACTTCCATCCCAAAGTTTGGTTCAAACTGAAGATATTTCTAATTTACAGTATGCCTTTATCTCAAACCATTTTAAAGTTATAGCGTTTTGAAATCTTGAAATCAAAATTGTATATTTTCTTGAAAAAACTCTGGCGCCTAAAGGGTTAATGCATAAATATTGTGCAGCGGTGGCTCTCATCAATGAAGCGTCTGCAGTGTCAGGTGAATCCACTGAAGCGCTGTGCACTTGCGAGAGCGTTTGCAGTCCAGATTTTACAAATAAACTCTGGAGCCAAAACTTCTGAATGACAGCATTTGAGGAGTTATGTGGCGCGTCTCTCATGGCACCTGCTGTGGATGCACTGCCAAGAGTGCAGCGGGTGGACAGGGCAGTGAGACATTTGGAGTGAGCAATACCATAGTCCATCGGTCCATGCGTTAATGGGATGTGTGTCTGTGTGAGGCTTACACAAATCAAATGAAAACATACATTGCTTTACCAGATGTGAATGAGGAATATAAATAGCAGTGCGTAATAACGCAGCGCAGAGCCTGCCACAGCAATAGCTGGGTCACACATCCCTGTCGCGTAAAGTGTATTTGTATAGAGCAGGGGTGGCCAACCAGTCAGAGACAAAGAGCCAATTTTTTTACTGTGTTACAGCAAAGAGCCACATCATACAAATGTGCACTATATAAACATCACCCCATCCCTTACACACACACACACACACCTCTGCTCAGACAGATTTATTGTAAATGTCATCAACATAATGACAGAAATGGACTCCTACAGTACTAAAGGGCTGGACTCGACTCTCCCCGGTTTGCGGGCGCTTCCACTGCTCGCTTTAGCCGCTCCCCGGTACTTTTTATTAATGGTTTGGCCCTGGTTCTAATCGGGCGAGTCGATACCAGAACAATCTCACGTCAGCGAACATCAATTATGATTCCGAAATGAATGCTTTCAATCTCTAACCAAGGAAAAAAAAATCAAGTTTCAACCCAGTATTCAGCAGAAACACAACTGTCTTTATTGAACCATGATTCACTCTGACTGCGTTTAGTAAAAGATATAGATTTGACACATAACACCAACACCACTTTAGCTGATTTAGAACCACAGACACATGTTCAGTGTAAGACCAGATACTTTTGCATTTGATTGAAGACAGACACTCACCAGGCAGAGGCTTATCTCCTGGTGTAGCTGGTGTTAGCCGGTTTTAGCATGTTAGCTGGTGTTAGCCAATATCCGTAAATTTAATCCATTTGGTCAAACCACCTCCAGACTTTTCGGTTCTGCCTCTACTTCTGCTGCTGTGATCTTTCATTTCACGGTTGTCACTTTTAAGATTTCAGATTCAGATTCAGATTCATTTATTTGCCATTTGCAGTAAAACCACATTGGAAAAACTGTGCAAGACTACCCCGGTGTGCACCAGACAGAGAAGACGACACACACCAGAGCTCTTGCCACGGCGCCATCTTTATGGCGCCATGCGACAAACAGTAGAATAAACAGCAGAGAGCAATAACATACAGTATCACAGACAGTTGGATAGACACATTGTGCTTTGTATAAACCACGGATTTTTTTCTCGGGATGAGCACCTCCGACTGCCGGCCCAATGTGGCTGTCAGAGGGGGGCGGGGTCAGGGAGGGGGGTGAGTCGGAAACACAGTGAGGAGGGGAGGGGAGGGAGGGAGCAAGATGGATAGGTAGAGGGAGGCGGGGGAGCGGGATCCTTGCTGGAGACTGAATAGTGCGATTTGTTGTAGATGGGGACCTTGTTATTATGGCCTTGGCCGAGGAATGTGAGATAAGAGTGGAGAGAAGACACAGCAGGAGAAAAACACATCGCCTGAGAGGGACAATATTATATGAAATGTAGCAGTCAAAAGCAGGCAGATATTCTATTAAATCCAATTAAACCGAATTGCGGCGCCCTCAGACCTCCGTACACAGGGGCAAATCCAAGCCGGGTCAGAGAGTTCAAGCCTGACACACGATGTCCCTTCGAGTGAACGAGCTGCGAGGTCTTTTATCAACTGTTCCACCAACACCACTCTCCTTTGTCCAGACACGGCACTCTCAACCACGACACGGCTTAGCTCCTTGTACATCCCATCAATTTTGTCGGCCAGCAGGTCGTGAATCTTGCGAACTGCCATGCCTCCGAATTTGCGGTAGAAAAGGACCGCTCCAAACCCAAACAGGAGGATCCCCACCACCAAAATGCCAAAGATATATACGTCTTCCGAATCTTCAATAGACAGGGTCGACAGACAGAGGGGCTGAAACTTGTTCCAGCTGTCAAGAGTATACCCCGCAGGTGAAGTCCCGTCCGGGCACACGGGCTCTCCAGACCCTCGCTTACGTGTTGAAAAGACAGAATCAATTGCGTTGAGGGACCAGTTAATCATTTCCATTCTGTTAAAGTTGTCTGTGGCAA